ACACCTACAAACATTGTCATTGTAATTATGGCTGGGCCCCTCCTAATTGTCTCAAAAAAGGCCATGGTGGCAGTAGTGACAGCGGACCTGCTTCACAAGATAGGAGTGCTATTGTTGCAGGAGCTGTTGTAGGAACTTTATTTGCTTTGTCTTCAGCAACTATTGCTCTTGCCATGGCTGTATACTATAAGGTTCAGCTGATCCATGGTTTTAGAAGACTGAGCTCAGTTATCTCTCCAGTTGAGTTGTCGGAAGAAGTAAACTGAAAGTAATCAATTCACACAGAAGGAAAAAAAATGTATGTAGGAAACAATATTTAATATTTGTATTTATGCCTTGTATAATCTCTTTTTGCTGTTTTTGCTTTTTGATATAATTACAAAGAATGCCATTGCATATCAGGCTGATATTGTGTTGGAAGCCATTAAAGCTTCTATCTCACCAAGCGGAAAGGAATTGTTCCTTTGGAGGAACGTAGTCATAGCCTTTTTCAGAGATATGGGTTCTTTTTACCAGATTATATGAATGGTGGTATTCTTTACATATTGAAGTTGCATTCCTTAATTGTGATAGAACAGAAATACTTGTTTCAAATTTTCATCATGTGAGCTGATGGCAGCATCAGAAATAATCTGCAAGAACTCCCCTGTGCGAAATGCACAGAAATATTGAAAGTTAATGTCCCAAGGAAATATGTGGCATTTCATTTCAAAGTTTAAATTTACTTGTGTTTAATACCTAGGAATAAATGAATATTCCTTTGTTTTTTCCTCTGTAGGTTAAATCTTTTATTAACTTTTGAAAGCAAAGGATAAATTCTTTGCAACTTCTCTGAGTGAACATGCACTGAACAACTGAAGGGACCTGACAGCTCACCCTCAACAGCCATGGTTCACTGAGGCATTTCAAACATATTAGAGGCTGAGATCCCCCATGTTGTTCGTACCATTGTTGACTGTGAAGAGCACATTGGGACTATATAGTACAGGGACACCCATTGTGAACGTAATGTTCGATGCAGCAGTTTATTCTAAAAGGACATAGCAAAAGAATGTCCTCAATATCAAATTACTTCTGGGGACATGGCATGCATCTCTAAAGTCTACTACCTGGTGGACAAAGAAACTCAAACATGCAGCGTGACCTACAAATGTGTCTACCCAACTGTTGGCAGATTAATAGCAGATTCCCAAAAGCTGCATGTCTACTTGAGAATAATCAAATAACAGTTCTCTTGTGGACCTTTCTATTAAATTTTTTATGATATCCAAATTACTTAAACTCAGATGTTAGCATTTTTATCTGAGGATCTATGTAGCTATCTCTTAATATTCTGAATTATTTCTGAATAAATGTTGCTGTTACTGGAAAATCAATCCATTTTATATTGTATGTCATCATACTATATTTATTGGTATCATGCGGATTGGGAGCAAAGGTTCTGATCTACATAGCAGCACATCAAAGGACCCCTTTGATTGTGGAGGTGGGGGGACATGGGCAAACATCACAAATGAAGGACATTAAATACAACAGCTTTGAGCAAACCCCACTTAAAGCACCTGAAACACAACAGAAGAAAGTAAATACACTCAAGATTATCAGCATAAATTTCCTATGGCATGAAGAAAGCTGCTGATTATCTATATATATATATATAAATGATCATGTCATAATGAGTGGCTTAAAAACAAAAGAACCGCTGGGCCAATACCCACCAAATTTGGCAACAAAACTCCTCACCATTCAAGGTGTGACCATCAATAATAAAAAAAAGAATTTACAAATCCTAAAAAAGGAGAAGATACCATTGGGCATGCGTACTGGGGGGGGGGGGGGTGTGCGCGCGCTCGCTCGCACACACAGGAGAGCTCCACGTGGCAGAGCCTGTGCCGGCAACAGCCTGGAGTCAGCCTTGGCTTTCTCCCTCCTCCTTCTCTCCCTTCCTTCTCTCTTCCCCCATTTTCTCCCTTCATGCCTTCCCTGCCTCCTCTCCTCCCTCTCTCTTTCCCTCATCCTTCCCCTCTTTCCTTCTCTCTTTCCTCTTTCCTTTCCTCCCTCCCTTCTATCAGTCCTCCTTCCCTTCTTCCTCCGTCTTCAGCTCTCCCCTTGGGTGCCGCCATCAAGGGGCTCCAGTAAGCCCCGCCCCTAATAGAGCAGAGTGTGCTGGGGACGGAAGGAAGGAAGGAAGGGGTGAGCCCAGTTCAGTTCCAGGTGAGCTGGACATCCAAGCAGCTCCCAAGGTCAAATTTCCACCAGAATTCACCTTTGGGCATATTGAGGATTCCTCCCAAGTTTGGTCCCGATCCATCTTTGTTTGGGTTCACAGTGCTCTCCGGATGAACAATTTCTCCTCCTCCTCCTCCTCATTCTCTCATCCACACCAACGCCCCCTTCCCTCCCTCCACCCTTTCCTTCCTTTCTGTACTTCCCTTCCTTCTCCTTCCTTTAATTCTTTCCCTTCCCTTCCTTCCCTCCTTCCTCCCTCCCTTTCCTTTTCTCCATTGCTCCTTCCTCCCTTTATCCCTTCCCTTCCTTCTTTTCTTTCCTTCCCTTTTCTCCCCCACCCCCCTCACCAGCTTCATCCATCTTTATTAAATCTACACTTAGATGCACTCAAAGTCACCCCTTCCACACTGCCATGTAAAATCCAGATTATCTACTTAGGACTGGATTCTATGGCAGTGTAGACACACACACACACACAGATATGGATGGATACAGGATCACTGGTTGGTGGTATATATCTATATTCTGTCTGTCTATCTCTCTATCTCTACGTATATACATATATACATATATATATAATTACAATACTATATATATTACTATTATATATACTGCTATTATATCTATTACTATATAATATGTTACTACTATATGTTACTATATTAAATAGACTCCTAGAATAGAGTTAGAAGGGACTCTACCAGACAGGAGAGAAGTAGGGAGGGAAGGAAGGAAGGAAAGAAAGAGGGACCGAAGGAAGGAAGGAAGAAGATAAAGTAGAAATGAAAGGAAAGGCAGGAAAGAGGTAAAGAAGGAAGGAAGGGAAAAGGAAATAAAAAGTGAAAGAAGCAAGAAAACAGTGTAGGAAGACATGAGACGAAGAAGTAGAGAAAGGACGAGGGAAGGAAGGAAAGAGAGGAGGAAGGATGAAACCAAAGAATGAAATAAGGAATGAAAGAAAGAGGTAGAGAAGGAAGAAAGGAGAGAAAGGGGAAGGGGAAGAAAAAGAGGGGAAGGAATAGGTAGGTACCTCCCTTTCATAATAGCCCAGATATCTACCTCTACTTCGAAAATTCTTACTATAGGCCACAGCAACGCGTGGCAGGGTACAGCTAGTTGTTTATAAATCCTCGGTATGACCTTTCACCCCTTCACCAATAAACACTAACCATCCTATTCCCAGTTTAAAGAAATACATCAAAATGACACTGGTTGGCTCAGTGTTGACCCATATAAAAAGTAAATGTTTTCCCATGACATTAAGTCCAGTTGTGTTTGATTCTAGGGGTCGTCCTCATTTCCATTTCTGAGCCAAAGAGCCAGTGTTGTCTGTAGATACCTCCTAGGTCATGTGCCCAGCATGACTGCATGGATTGCCCTTACCTTCCCGCCGAAGTGGTACCTATTTATCTACTCACATTTGCATGTTTTCAAACTGCTAGGTTGGCATAAGCTGGGGCTAACAGATGGCGCTCACTCTGCTCCCTGGATTCGAATCACCGACATTTCAGCAAGTTTGGCAGCTCAGCGGTTTAACCCGCTGCGCCACCGGGGGCTCATTTTAACTGCATTGAACCTAACTATATGGCAATGCATATCCAGGCTGAGCTAGAGGGGAAACAATTCCTTTAGTGGTGTCTTAGGCCCTTTCTACACTGCCACACTGCCAACTATCTAAACCAGTGGTTCCCAAGCTTTGGTCCTTCAAGTGTTATGGACTTGAACTCCCAGAATTCCCAGCCAGTTTACCAGCTGTTAAGTATTGTGGAAGCTGAAGTCAAAAACACATCGAGAATTAAAGGTAGGGAACCACCTTTGGTGTTCCAACAAAGGGAGAAGCCCCTACAGTGGAACCCCTCTACCACAAGAGTCTCATGATTGTCGGAAATACTGTAGAAATTTCTACTGTCGTTGTTGCTGCTGTTTGTGTTGGTTTGTGCTTGTATTTCAGGATTGAAGTCTTGTACCAGTTCAGAAGGTTGAATGCCAGATTGCTGCTTTTGCATAGAAAAGAGCAATCTTGAAAATCGTGAAATGACTATGAGACTTTTCCCCTGAAAAGTTGCAGTCTTTTAGGGCCCTTCCACTGTGCCTTATATCCCAGAAGATCAAGGCAGAAAATCCCACAATATCTGCTTTGAACTAGATTATCTGAGTACACACTCAGATAATATGGGATTTCCTGTTTTGATATTCTGGGATATAGAGCTGAGTGGAAGGGCCCTTAGACTCCTCTCTTTCTCAAAATGTGGATTATCTGCCTTGATATTCTGGATTATATGGCAGTGTAGGAGGGGCCTCGCTTTTCACTCGGCACCGAGAGATGGGTATATAAATGCCTGCCAGGAGTTCTCCCTAGCTTAGTAAAAGCCAACTTGCTCTTTAGGAACAAATAATGAAAATTAGTTTTTTATACAATGCTTCTTTTGTTGCACCATGGTAATTTTTACTTCCTTCTCTACACGGATACTCAAAGTCTCAGCACACCCATCTCTTCTTCCCATAGTCCACTAAACAACACGGGCGAGACCTATTTCTCTCTCTATCCATCCAGTGACATTGTTTTCCCATTGTTTCCATCATTGATCTACAAGCTCCGCCCCCATTCCAAATGAAATCCCTTGGACTGTTGCTATGTATAGAACACATCTCGATTGCATGTATAACCTCCTTCCAATCTTCTTTCTGGCACAACCGCAACTGTAGAGAGCTTCCCTGTCCTACCTAAATAAGTAGAGTGAAACTCTCTAGTGGCTTCACTCCCAAGAAAAATGGCCAATAATTCTTCTTGGTTGCCGTTTCTGATCTTATGGAATCTATTGAATGAGACAGAAAATCATGAACCACTGAAAGGTTTTAAGTATGCTTCCTATGAGGTGACCATCCCAAGGAAATTGATGCCAAAACATGGACAAGATGAAACCACAGAAGTCACCTATCACTGGCGCATTGAGGGGAAGGGCTACATAGTAAACCTGAGACAGAAGAGGGGTTTTGTGCCTAAGAATTTTCCAGTCTTAACCTACACAAAACATGGGGATTTCCAGGTGGACTATCCATTTATAAGACGTGACTGTTTCTACCAGGGTTATGTGGAGGGCAACATCCCCTCTCAGGTCACCCTCAGTGCTTGCTCAGGGGGGTTTCGGGGGCTCTTTCAATTTGACAATAAGACCTATGAAACTGAACCTGTCCAGGCCTCTCCTACCTTTGAACATGTGGTGTTTCGTTTGGAAGAGAAAGAAAATGCTGTCCGTATGAAGTGTGGACTAACAGAGGAAATGCAAAAACACCATGAGACCATGATGCAGAACACAGAGGATGGACAGAAAGAGAAGGAAGGTGTTGTAGGCATGTACTATGGGCTGACAGCAGAAAATCAAAGACAACTAGAGATCATGATGCAAAATATAGAGAATGGAGTTGCCAAAAGTGCTTCCTGGTGGTCACACACTAGGTATGTGAAGGCAGCCATTGTGGTGGAACATGAACGCTATGTGCAGTTTGACAGAAATGAAACTCTTGTGGCTCTACAAGTCCTGGATATTTTTCATGTAGCAAATTCACTTTATGAACCACTTTCTGTTCAATTGTCTATAGCTGGACTGGAAATCTGGTCAGAAAGGAATCTTATACAGATTTCCAATAATATGGGGAAAATACTTGATGCTTTCCAAGGTTGGCGGAAAGATTCACTAAATAAACGTCTCGAGAATGATGTTGCCCACTTACTCGTTTATAAACATTTTGGAACTGTGCTTGGATTAGCATTTCTAGGAACAATTTGCAATAGGAACTGGGCATCTGCTGTTGTGTCCTATACATCTCCCAGGTTGCTATTTATTTCTAATACCTTTGCCCATGAGTTAGGACATAATCTTGGCATGAGACACGATGAACAATACTGTTACTGTGAACAAAGTGATTGTATTATGGCTGCATATTACACAAGCAATGATAAGTTTAGCAATTGCAGTTATAGTGACTATTTTAGAGTTAGGAACTATGATTGTTTGTTAATTCCCCCAGATCTTGATAACATATACAAACTGGGATATTGTGGAAACAAAGTTGTGGAAAATGGAGAACAATGTGACTGTGGCTCAGAAGCCCAATGTGAGTTAGATCCATGTTGCCAGTCTAATTGTATGTTTCGTGCCAGGGCCACTTGTGCTTTTGGAAAGTGCTGTTCTAAATGTCAGTATCTTCCTGCACAGTCTCTTTGCAGAAAGGAGACTGGTATTTGTGATCTTCCTGAGTATTGCAATGGGACCTCAGAGTTATGTCCTAAAGATGTTCATGTACAAGATGGTGCCTCCTGTGCAGATGGAGCATACTGCTATCTTGGGAACTGTACTACGAACAATATACAATGCAAAATGATATTTGGCAAGAAAGCAGTAACTGCCTCTAAGAGTTGTTTCAGAAATATAAATGCTCAAGGTGATCGTTTTGGCAACTGTGGTCTCAAACACGGGATGTACAGGAAATGTACACCGGAGCATAGCCAATGTGGTCGCATCCTGTGTGAAAATATTCATCAGTTGCCTTTTTTGGAGGAACACAATACCTTAATCCAGATGGTTGTTGGTGATAAGGAATGCTGGAGTACAGACTACCACAGTGGAATGGAAAGATCAGATATGGGAGCTGTGAGAGATGGCACTCCTTGCGGCACAGATATGATGTGTATTGATGGGAAATGTGTGAGTGTCTCACTCCTGAAATATGACTGTAATGTCACCAAGTGTCATAATCGGGGAATATGCAACAGTCTCAAAAATTGTCATTGTGATTACGGCTGGGCTCCTCCCGAATGTTTAAATGATGGTCATGGAGGTAGTATTGACAGTGGTCCCCCTCCGTGGAAAGTGCATGTCAACATTGCAGGATCAGCTGCGGGAGGCGTGCTCCTAATTTCCCTTATTGCTGTTACTGCTTGTCTTGCCCTGTTGCTTGGTCTCATCTACCTGTTTAGAAGGTGGCGGGCAAGACAGAAACCCACAGAATCACCACAGTTAGACACCCCACAGACCAGTGAGTCATTGCTGCACATAAGGAAAATAATGTAAAATGTATTATCATGCAAATTCAAATTTTTGCACAAAATTTGAATTCTGAGTATACGGTTTTGAGTATATACTGTTTCAAGTCTATCCTTTTATATGGAGAACTACACATTAAGCAAAAATCTTAATCTCAAATTCTGTTACCAAATACCTATACAAGGAATGATCATTCTAATATTTACAACACTTTCTTTAACTTTATGTTTGACCCAAATACTCAATGTTATTGCTTTCAGAGACATGAATGCTCCATTGCTCCTTTTGGCCCTAAAGGGGACGTATGCAAAATGCTGCCCTAAGAATATTCTGTGTGCTGACATTTGTGTGAAAATGTTCATGATTTGGTTTTTCCCCCCAAGAAAAACATAATTCAAGAAATTATTGGGAGTAAAGAGTGCTGACGTATGAATTCAATGTTGCAATTGGAACACTAAAGCTTAAATGTTGAAAGTCACTGAAAGTACCAATAAGAAAATACATGTAACACATATCAGAATCTACAGTCCAATCTGAGTGTAATATGAATCAAAATTTGATCATTGCAGATGAGATGTTTTGATATTCAGAATAATTCCTTCTAATATATTTAGATGAATAATCAACTTGTCTATTATGGAATTTGTGTCATTTTAGTGGATTGTTTCCTATTATAATACATTTATGGATCAGAGGAATGATTCAGATGAAATGCTATTTCATGATCTTGGGTCAATATCAACAACCCAAAGAAAGATTTTAGTCACATTTCCTCAGCATCAGTATTCCCCACAGGCACAACGTCTTTACCATCATGGCCATCAGTGCTTCCTGGTTACATAAACTATTTCATCCTATCAAGCAGCACTGCAACAGCACCATCCATTAGTCTGCCCCATGCACAGAAGCAGTACCAAGCCAACTGATTCACTACCCACAGTGAATGAAAACAATGGCAGTTTCTTTTCTATGTTGGCTCAGCATGAATGGAAATTGATGGCCATTTTCTCATTCATGTCAGGAGATGAATGGTTGAATGAAAGGACTGGAGGAGAAATTATGGACCTCATCACACTGAGGCCAATAAGCCAGGTGGCATCAGAGGAATTTGCCATGTTGTGTACTGGCATCCGGCAGGCTCCGTCAAGGAAGCATCCCAACAGCATGCTAAAATGCTTAAAAGTCTCCATGTGATGAAGTGGTAACATGGCTTTGCATGGATGGTCCTGCTCTTTGTGGATTACAGTGATCCTGATGGTAGCAAGTTCTCAAAATACCAGGATAGAAAGCAGAATCTGGCCATCTCTGTATGCTTACAGAGATGTATGCTGCATGTGATTCTGCAGTTGCCTCCTAGAGATGTCTACTCAGAGAAGGTGTCAAGCGGCAGGCAAGGTAGACTCTTTATGATGTCTGGTCAGCCAGTAAGGATGAGCCAGCACTTACTTCCCAAGGATGTCAGATCCAGATCATTAAATCAATGAGAGACATTTTAGGTCAATGGAGGAAATCTTCAGATAAGAAGGGAAAGGGAAAGGGAGTGAGGAAGGGAAAGAAGGGAGGAGTTAGAAAAAAAGAGAGGCGATAACAAGAATTCTAGTTACTGGGAAGGCATATTTCTTGTTTCATGAACAGCTAGGAAGATCGGTGTTAAGAATGAACACTTTTTCTGTAACTAAACTGTGTGTACACATCCTTCTTTTATGAAATAAAACAGCACAAAAATAAGATCAATTTTATAAAACAAAATTTCTTAAATATATTTGTAGATTTCTTGAAGGGTAAACTCTAGTTTTTAATCAGTAAAGCGAATCAAAGTGAATTTCTAAACAGATAAAATTTGAGCTTGTAACAACATTTTGAATATTTTCCTCAATGTAAAAAATGTAAGAGGAATTTCAGGAACAATATGAAGATTATGAGATCAAACCTGAGGTCTGTCCAAAGCCAATGACTGGCTATAATATGGAGCAAATAGTTGCTATGTGGCAGAGGGAGACATATATCAATGGACTGGCAAATCTATCCATGAGGTTGAGAGCTCTATGTGCATGTCAAGGATACACGTGACTTCATGTGATCCAAAACCTAATTTTCTTTATGTGCCCCACAATTATATGCCTCAGTGGAAGAGTTGGGAGTGCAAACGGTGGGACAATAGAGCAGGCATGGACAGACTTTCTAACTTGGGGGCCACATGGAGGACCAGAGCGTGATGGGCAGGCTGGGAAGGAGTTCTCCCCAAGCCCCCTCCCTGCCCTTGTCTCCCCTTCCTCTTCTCTTTCAGAGACAGAAAGTGAAGATGGGAAATGTTTGGTTCCCAAAAGCATTGGCCTTGGTCAGGATGAGATGATGGATAGGAGAGAAAAAGCATATAAATTAGACCCCATATTTCCTACTCCTGATATGTAATCCTAGAATCCTAGAGCTGGAAGTGATATCGAGCTCTTTTGGGAGGGTTTCCCCGGCGGAGGAGATCCCTGAGGACCGCTCAAAAGGGCCCCTGAACCTTGGTGAGGCCAGCGGGAGCCAATCCAAAGAGTTAAAAATATTTAAAATAAAATAATCTCACCGAAGGCGGAAGAAATTCAGCGACCGAGGCGTTTAATTGCGATTCAGCTGCAATCGGATGCAATTGTAGGGATAATTCCACTACAAGCATGCTGATACAGAATTTCCAAGCATTTTTATAGCATGCAGACAAAGGAAAACAGTTTCGAAATTCCCGCCCGCCCTCTGCCGGCTGGCTTCGTGCTGATTGGCTGGCGGCGGAACAGCTGGGAGGAGGCTTGGTGGCACGCCTCGCCTCTGGACCAATCAGCGAGCTCCGCCGTCTCTGGGAGGCCAATCAGTGCCTTTCTAGTGCTTCCGAAGATGGACCAATCAGAGGCTAGGAGGCGGGACGAGGCTTGACAATGGCTGAGGAAATGATGAGCTTAGGGGCATCCGCCAGCTGAAATGCGAGGCTTTTGTCCTCGCTGGCGGGGTGAGATATAGGGGAACAAAGGGTTTTCCTGTCCTTGATGAGCTTTGAGGGGAAATATGAATGGCTTTTTCGACATCGGACCTCAGGGGGGATCAACGATGCCTTATGCAAATACAATCCTTTATTCCGAGTGACCATAAGTCCCCTGATCCCATCAAACATGCTCAGAGAATGGGCAGGGTCCATTATGGCTATGGTTCCATGCAGGGTGAATTAATCAAGGGTGAGTCTTGGGAGATAGAGAGATTCTCCCTTAGGCAGTTCCTGGTCACGGTATTTTGTGGGGCAGAGGTCAAGGGGGCGAGGGTACAGAGGAATTTCATAAGGGTTACATACATCAAAATCATAGGTAATAGGCATCACTGATACAGAGTTATTTCATAATATCATACACACAACCCACAATCCACCCCGCACCCGAACCCTTACAGTAATAAAACATTCATTTTTATTTCATAAAGAAGAAACTAGAAATCCCAATTTTTCCGGCGGAGAAGCATGGAGGCAGAGGGACCAGCCCGTGGCTCTGGCTGGCCAGCAGAAGGTCCGTTTCTCCCTGGGCAGAAGGCTGGAGTGGAAGGGGAGACAGGATCTCGTGGCCTCTGTCCTTGGGGAAACTGGAGCTCCCATCTGAGGGCCGGGAGGCCCGGCCCCTTCCCCAAGGCTTCCCGGGAGCAGCGGCGGTGAATTCCCCATGGCGGGGGCTATCCAGGAGCGAGCGGCAGCAAGCAAAGCGAAGCGGCCCGGCAAAACCAGCTGAGTTTGACAATCAGCTGTTTCCCTGTTCGAATTTATTACTCAAAATAAAACAATTATTCTTCGGGTGTGTGTGTCCAAATCGAGAAAAGTGAGATGGCAGTTAGTCTTAGGATTAGTTGTAGAAAAATATAAAATTTAAACGGGGCCGATCCGCCATGTTGTTGTTTTGGCGGATAAGGGGGCCCATTAGGGAAACCTCCGTATCCGCAGTTTGAACTAACGCAGATTCGGGGGCCCGGGGGTGCCGGGAAGGCATCCCCGGTGGGCTCACGGACCTCCGGAGCCCAGAAAATGGTTAATTTTAGGTTATGTGGGGCTTCAGGCAAGGAAGGACACAAAGTATCGACCGGAAAAGTTTCAAAGTTGCAAAGTTCAAGTACTTTATTAAGGGATTGTTACAAAGTAAGGAGAGGAAAAGTGAAAGAAGGTTTCATGCAGTCCTAGGAGCTCTGAGCTGCTGGCTGAGCCACATTTCATCTGTTGGTCCTAAATTGGCTCTTCGGAACTGTGGAACTCCCTGCTGCGGTTCAGATCAACCTGAAGGCAGGGGTCTCCGCGGCACGCGGGGACAGAAGAGACCCTCAAGAGTCATCCAACCCAACCCTCTGCCCTGCAAAAAGGCACAGTCAAAGCACTCCTTATAGAGAGCCTCTGTGAAAAAGCCTTCAAAGAAAGAGATTCCACCACACTCCCAGACAGCCTATGCCACTCTCCAACAGCTCTTACTCTCAGGGAGTTCTTCCTAATCTTTTCGGTTGCATCTCTTTCCCTGCAATTTGAAACCATTGCTCCCTTGTGCCCTGGTCTCTAGAGCAGCAGAAAGTCAGTTTTTCCCCTCCTCCTCAATCGGACACCATTTAAAATCTTGAAACATAGTTCTCATGTTGCCTCTCTACCTTCTCTTCTCCCAGCTAAACATCCCCCAGAAGGAAAGGAGGAAAAAGAGAAGGAAGAAAGGGAGGAAGAGAAGGATGGAAGGAAGAAAGGATGGAAGGGAATGGAGGGGAAGGAGGGAGAAAGGAAAGAGAGAAGGAAGGAAAGACAAAAGGGAAGGGAGAGAGGGGGGGGGGAGGGAGGAAGCTGGACCACTCTAACTACCACCATGTCAGACTACACAGAGAAGCCATTCAAATTCACAAGCATGTGGACAACTTCAACAGAAAGGAGGAAATCATGAAAATGAACAAAATCTGGCTACCAGTATTTAAAAACGCTAAAATCGGGACAGTAAATAAAGAGCAATACTCAAAAAACTGGGGAATTCCAGACAGGAAACGATCAGGGCCAGTTAACACCTTCCAAAAAAAGCATTCCAGGCAGGAAACAGCCAGGCTTTGGATCTGCAAGGCCATTAAATGCTACTTAAGAAGGCTAATTGCAACATTCACATCTGCCTCCAACAGATAAGAGTTTTTCTTCCACCCTGAATATTCCACAGAGATATAAACCTCACTTGCCTAGTTTTCCAACGGATCTCACAACCTCTGAGGATATCTGCCATAGGTGTAGGCGAACATCAGGAGGGAATGCTTCTGGAACATGGCCATACAGCCCGGAAAACTCACAACAACCTAGTGATTCCGGCCATGAAAGCCTTTGACAACACTACCTTTGCACTGTTTGAGGACTATACCAAATTGCAGGTGAAGCCACAAGATAAATGCAAAATGTAAATAAAAGCTATTACTATTAACTTTAATTTTGCTTGTGGGAGAAATACTTACCAACCCACACAATTTCAATTCAAATCAGACAAGTTCTTCTTTGTGCTGACAAAGTTCAAAGACATAATCCACCAGATAATTTTTTTTTGTCACATTAGTCTAGCTTGCTGTAGACCTTTGCAGCCTGAAAGACAGTTGTATCTGTCAAGTAGGAAATTTAGGTACCGCTTTATGCGGGGAGGCTAATTTAAACTAATTTACGACATCATAAAACCTTGCAGCACCATGCAGAAGAATGAGGAAATACTCCATCAAAGGGCTCGGTGTCATAAATGGACGGTTAAGCAGCAGCTTGCCCTGTGGCTGGAATAGAGCTGCAATCAAGCATGCCCTCATGAAGCCGGAAAGCTGGAATGTTAAATTGCTTTTGTGTCTGACTATATATGTTGTATGTCTAATTGGCATTGAATGTTTGCCATGTATCTTTGCATTTTGATCCCTGCGGGGTGAGAAGAGCAGAATATAAATAATGTAAATAAATAAATAAATATCATGAGTATAATGGTGATTGCTTGTAAGGTTTCACTAGAACTTCTGAAAAATGCATCCTTTAATTTTGGGGGCACACTAGGAATCAACTCTTGTGAATTTTAATCTGCATTTTAATCTGCATTTATTAGCAGTATGTATCTATCTATATCAGTGGTTCTCAGCCTTCCTAATGCCACGACCCCTTAATACAGTTCCTCATGTTGTGATGACCCCCAACGATAAAATTATTTTTATTGCTACTTCATAACTTTCATTTTGCTACTGTTATGAATTATAATGTAAATATCTGATATGCGGGATGTATTTTCATTCACTGGACCAAATTTGGCACAAATACCTGATATTTCCAAATTTGAATACTGGTGTGGTTGGGGAAGGGATTGATTTTGCCATTTGAGAGTTGTAGTTGCTGGGATTTATAGTTAACCTACAAACAAAGAGCATTCTGAACCCCACCAACAATTGAATTGAACCAAACTTGGCACACGGAACTCCCACGACCAACAGAAAATACTGGAAGGGTTTGGTGGGCATTGAAATTGAATTTTGGAGTTGTAGTTTATTGTGAGAGAGCATTGTGGTCTCAAACAATGATGGATCTGGACCAAACTTGGCACAAATACTCAATATGCTGAAATGTGAACTTTGTTGGAGTTTGGGGAAAATAGACCTTGCCATTTGGGAATTGTAGTTGCTGAGATTTATAGTTCACCTACAATCAAAGAGCATTGTGACCCCCCCCCCCCCAAATGAGAGAATTAGGCCAAACTTCCCACACAGAACCCCAATGAACAACAGAAAATACTGGAGGGATTTGGGAGGAATTGACAGTTTTTTAGTGGAAATGTAGTTCACCTACATCCAGAGAGCAGGAGGAAGGGCTTTTGGTGGGAAGATTTGCCGTCTGTTTCCATAATGGAAGAGAAGGACAGGCTGAGAGATCTTCAGCCTTCTCTGCTAAAGGGGTTCCTAAGACTATCAGAAATATGTGTTTTCTGATGGTCTTTGGCAACCCTTCTGACACTTCAGGGCTGTCAACCCCCAGATTGAGAAACGCTGCTCTATATCTTTATGAGATTCTTCTCAACACAGTCCAGCAAGAAAATGACTTCAATCTTTTTAGCATTTTAGTAACAAGACTCTTCTAGATCCTTGCCTTAAATGTTCTGTTAGAATACTGTTGATCTTGTGGATTACCTCTGGAAACCTGCCTTCTGCTCCTCAAATTCTCCATGCACATACCACTTCTTGTAGCTGTCTGAACAATAACTGTTTATGACCATGTCCTTTTGCATCCATCCCCTGATATTACACCTGCCCCATTGGCATCTACTACTGATCTTCCAAGCTCCGCCCCCATTCCAATGGAAACTCCATTGGCTGTTGCTATGGACACAACCTTTCTCAATCATATATACAGCTTCCTTTTAGACTGCCTCTAGGCCCAGTAGCAGCTCTGTGGAGTTCTCCAGTTCGGCCTGTGAAGGTAGTGTGGAGTGCTCTACAGGAAGCTCTTCTGGGGAAGATGGTGAACAATTCTGCTTGGCTGCCATTGCTGATATTATGGAATGTGCCAAGGGAAACAGAATGTCTGACACCCCCCCACAGTGTGAAGTATGCTTCGTATGAGGTGACCACCCCAAGGAGAGTGATGCCAAGATACGGACAACAAGAGACTCCAGAGGTCACCTACCATTTGCAGATTGAGGGGAAAGGGCACATGATGCACCTGAGGGAAAAGAAGGGCTTTGTTCCCCTGAACTTTCCACTCTTCAGCTACTCCAGGCAAGGAGAACTCCAGGTAGACTATCCATTTATTAGGAGAAACTGTTTCTACCAGGGTTATATCGAGGGAAAGCCTTCTTCATTGGTCACTGTAAGCACTTGCTCTGGGGGATTTAGAGGTCTATTTCAATTAGAAAATAAAACCTATGAGATTGAACCTGTCCAGGCATCTCCTACCTTTCAACATGTAGTGTATCGGCTGGAAGAAAAGGAGATCGATAGCAATGTGAAGTGTGGACTAACAGAAGAAGAACAAAATCGTCAAATGGCCATGATACAGAACTCACGCAAGCTTGTCAACGAAAGTATTTCTGGAAGAAGCTGGTGGATGGATACTAGGTTTTTGGAGATTGCAGTTGTGGTAGAATACGACCGATATGTGGATTTTGACAAAAATGAAACTTTTATTACTTTACTATTTCTGGATCTTGTCCATGCAATAAATTCAAGGTATGAACCGCTTTCTGTTCATTTGACTTTAGTTGGACTGGAGATATGGTCACAGAGGAACCTCATATCAATTAGCGATAGCATAGGAACGACACTTACAACTTTCAGTCGTTGGAGAAGAGATTCACTACTTAAACACCTGGAGAGTGACCTTGCCTATCTATTTGCATATCGATATTTCAAAGGAATGGCTGGATTAGCCTCTCTAGGAACAGTTTGTGATGCTGAGAATGGAACTGGTATTGTTTCATTTTTTACCTACAGCTTTTCTGAATATTCCATGGTGTTTGCCCATGAATTAGGACACAATCTTGGCATGAGACATGATGGAAACCAGTGTGGTTGTGATCGAGCAGTGTGTATTATGACAGAGAGTCTCACAAATGGTTATAAATTTAGCAACTGCAGTCACTATGATTATTATCAGCTGATGAACTCTCACTGCTTGATATTGCCCCCAGATCCTGAAAGAGCATATAGACAGAGGCGATGTGGAAACAAAATAGTAGAAGATGGAGAACAATGTGACTGTGGTTCCAAAGCTGAATGTGAATCTGATCAATGTTGTCAGTCTGATTGCAAAATGCGTTCAGGTGTCATTTGTGCTATTGGAGACTGCTGTGTGAATTGTAACTATATTCCTGCTCAGGTTCCGTGCAGAAAAAATACCAGTGTCTGTGATCTCCCTGAGTATTGCAATGGAAGTTCAGAGTGGTGTCCTGATAATGTTTATGTACAAGATGGTGCACCATGCGGTGAGGGGTTATATTGTTATCGTGGGAAATGTATACCTCCCAATGAGCAATGTAAAATGATGTTTGGCATCAGATCCACAGCTGCTTCAGAAGGTTGCTTCAGAAATGTGAATTCTAAAGGTGATCGTTTTGGCAACTGTGGCTTTAAAAATGGAACATACACAAAATGTTTACATAGACATGTCATGTGTGGCCGAATGCAGTGTGAAAGAATCCATGATTTGGGGATTTTGCAGGAACACTGGACATTAGTTCACACAGACACTGGAAACAGAGAATGCTGGGGTTTAGACTATCACCATGGAATGAACTTAACTGATATTGGAACCGTGAGAGATGGCACTCCTTGTGGTCCTGACAGCATATGCATTGATCAGAAATGTGAGACAGTAGCTTCTTTGAATTATGACTGTGATTTTGGTCAATGTTATAACCGTGGAATATGCAACAGCCGTAAACACTGCCATTGTGATTATGGTTGGGCCCCTCCCAAATGTTTAAATAAAGGATTTGGTGGGAGCATTGACAGTGGTCCTCCTCCTCGACAGAAACGTAAGCTTATTATGAGTAGTAAAGCAAAATTATTTAGCTATATATTTCTCCCCGTTGTTGCAGTTATTACTTGTTTTATTATTGTTTTTAGGAATGACTTGATATTCCTCTATGCAAGAATGAAAGAAAGGATACAGGCACGTAGGAAAAAACATATTGAAAAGTACCGAAGAGGTAAAGATTTGACAGCCATACAGATGCGAATGATGCAAAATGCATAAGATATATGTGCATCATTATTGTACAAGCATGCACTTGAGTGTGCAACACTTTGGTATTATTTTTGAAGTTAATTTTAATCAAATTTATCTCTCAGGCAAAATGACTTATAAATATCTTGGCTTCATGAAAGCAGAAGCTCTCTGCTCTATATTGCTCTGCTCTATATTGCTCAGACTCCCCCCACCCCAGTCCACTGGCATCAATGGGAGACTATATACTCTGAACAAAAGCCCTGTTCACAGCATGAAAATAAATGTCTCAAAACTTGTATTGTATGGAAAATGCCTGCCCTATTTCAAAATTATACCTGGATAAGAAGGCAACCAAATCCCCTATATGCTACCAGAAAATATGGCAAGGCATACAATTTATTCTGTGCCAGTACAACCAAGCCTTCGCAAAGAAAAACAAAACTGATAATACTGGTAGCAGTGGTGCAGAAACATTAACTGCATGATGATAGAAATGATAATGATCCATACACTAATAATAACCTATATTACATAAGAAAAAGCATAGCTGATGTGTCAGAAAAGTTGCCTGAGTACTGGTTGTTTCCACCCTGGCACAGTCATGTTGTAAGATGATCCACCACCCACCAATGATTATATACAGCTATGGCGTGTTTGTAGTCTCTGCCATGTGAGAAATGATCCCAGACACTGAACAAAACTCCCCTGTATCAGGTGGGGTTTGTGGCCAAACAGAAGGGTATTATCTCTCCCATCCTTACATGTTTATTAAACATGTGGACTCCAGCAGTGGGATCATGGCAACCTGCTTCTGTGCAAGTTTGCTTTTGCTTCTCTGCCTGTTGTTGCACACAAATTGCTGACGGAGGTTGCTGCAGTGGTTCTTGATGGAAAGACATGTCTGGTATTACCTGCAAGTAATGATTACAGTGCTAATATAGATTTTGTATCTCTGCCATGCTATGGGGAACCCTTGATCTCTATTCCTAACCTTTTCTGAGGCTGCCAAATTGGGATCAGGATCTTCAAGATGCTTGTTTGGTTTTTTGATCTTGACCCCAGCTGAACGTTGTAGAAGTATTTCATCTAATACAGAATTGTAAAATTGTAGGTGATACATTTTGCAGGACCAAACATCATTTATAATGTATAGAGGACTGGCCTTTCATCACAATTTATTAAGAAGGAATTATTCAGAATATCAAGAAATGCCATTTGCACTGGTAAAATTTTGGTTGATGTTATGTAACCCTGACTCGATTGTAAATTTTGGATGTGTACTACTTGTATTTTCATATCAAAGCATTCAGTATTTAAGTTTCTCAAAAAAAACCATCTTACCCAACCATGTAATTGTATCTTGCTCAATATGAAGAGAGTCTTCAAATCCAGGTAGGATCCTGTGAAAACAGACAAACTTCATAATCGACCCAGAATGTGCAATAGCACACTTCTCTCTAGTAACTAGAGCATGAATAAACTGAATGAGAAGATGACAGTGATCCTGATGGTACTAAACCCTCCAAGTGCAGGGACACAATGCAGAATGTTTGGCAATTTCTGTATGCTGCAGCCACATCTCAGATAAGGTGACAATGCAGCAGGCAAAACAGACTCTTTGTGACTGCCAGTAAACCAGCTGAGCTGCATAGGGATGCACCAGCATTGATTGGCTTCTCAAGGACTTTAGTTCCATATCCTGAAATCAATGAGAAACATTTTAGGCCGATGGAGGAACTCTTTAGCAGGAGAAGAAGGGAGAGGGGGAGGAAGACGAGGGGGGAGGAAGGAGGTGGTAACATCAAACTTGCTCACTGCATTAGGAGGGCAGTACCTGGATTTTTCCTTGTTCTATGTCAGCCTTTAAAAGTGTAAAGATTAGAAATGCTTATTGCAACTCAATTCTGCTATTGAGCTCAATGTAAACATATGCATGTCCTTTAAAAATGAAATGGTACAAAATTGAAGCATTGTTTTAGAGTGTTATTATCTGTTTATCCAAAAATGTTTGCAGATTAAAATTAATGTTCATTTCTTCAAAAAGCAGTATCTCCATAATGTTCATCTCCAATGAAATAAATATCAAAAATCAATTTTGAGAATTAAAAAAGTGTGTGTGGTTTTTTTTAAAGGGAAGTTTTGGGTGTTTCCCTTCAAGACTCTCCATGTACCATAAAGTAAGGTAAAGGTTTTCCCCTGACATTAAGTTCAGTCATGTTCCAACTTTGGGGGTTGGTGCATCTGCATGGAACGCCGTTACCTTCCCGCCGGAGCGGTACCTATTGATTTACTCACATTTGCATGTTTTCAAACTGCTAGGTTGGCAGAAACTGGGGCTTACAGCAGGAGCTCACACTGCTCCCCAGATTTGAATCTGCATCCTTTCGATCAGCAAGTTATGCAGCTCAGTGGTTTAATCCACTGCACCACTGGGGGCTCCCCATGTACCATAAATCTAGGAGATATGTCAGAGTTTGATTGGAAAGACTGCAGGATGAAATCTAAACACTATCCAGTAACAGTGATGGGTAAGAGCTTGGAGTAAAATGGTGCTCTACAGGTAGCAATCATAAGTCAACAGTAGGATGGCCTTTTTATGCCAGAGCCCAGCCAGCTGGTACACGGGCATATTGGGCACAGAATCCTTTCTTGTCTTACATGCAAAGCTAAGATAAACATGCCATTCACTTTCAACTTCTGTTCTATTCTTTATACTTCTTACCATGCTTTTTACTCTTCTCTGGACTCACTCTGACTTCTTGTTACTCTTCTCTGGACTCACTTCAACTTCTCTATATTCTTCTTAAAATGAGAGATCCAGAACTAATCTCAATATTCCAGATGAGGCCTGACCAGTGCAGAATACAAGGAGGTTGTTACTTCCTTTGACTTGGAAACAATGGTTCTATTAATGCATGATGTTATAGTAGAGTCTGCTGGCAACATTACAACTGATAGTAGAAGTAGTAGAGAAGGGAAACGAGGTGCCCAGGTGTTAGAGAAAGAGTAGCAAAGGAAGAGAATCCGGGAGATACTTATGTCACCCACAGACGAGGAATCCTTCGAAGGCTTCTCTGGCAGTGAAATGAGTGAGGAGGAGGAAGGAGATGGGAGTAGAGGTTTGAAGAGGTCTACTCGGGAGCAAGTGTCAGACGAGGAGCGTCAAAGAAAGAGGATCTGGGACATACTTACTGCTCCCACCGAGGAAGAGGATTTCATGGGCTTTACTGGAAGCAATGGGTCTGGGAGTAGTGAGGATGAAGAGGAACTACTGGATTGGACACAAGTCCAGGAGATCAGGGATGTGTACACTTTTGAGGGATTTTCTGGTGGGGATTGGCAAGCTGATGTTACCATGGATTCATGGGGTGATTTAAGTCTTGACAAGAGGTGGAAGAGTTGGAGGGATGGGTGTTGGCGTCCAGCTGTTGAAGCTAAACCAGCTGACAGTGATGAGGACGGGGCAGAAGGCAACTCATCAACGGATGATGAGTTGTAGGATAAATGAAGGCACTGGAATGATAGAACTTTGCAGGAGGCAAAATGTTGGATTCGTGCCTTGGGTTTGTCGTTGCTGCTTCTCTTGTTGGCCTTGGGTCCTGGAACTGCAGGTTGCTGTATCCTTTGTGCATCATCTGGACTGGATTCTCGTAAGTGCGGATTTCCCCTCTCATTGACCACAGACTGTTTCTGACGACGGTGCTGCCTTTGGGACTTCATCTGGTACTTCTTTGACTTGGGACTGTTTTATCATTATCTTTGAACTGTGTGATTTTGGTGCATTTTGCACTAACTCTTGTTTAATCCGGATTTTTTGCCAGTTTAATCCGGTTTATTTTCCAAGTTTGTTTTTTAACTGCAAGTTGCTGCAAACTTTGAGTTTTGACCAGAGGTACTGAAGCAAGTGTCTCTGAGTCCTGTTTACTTTGATTTAATAAACTGTTGTTTTGAATATTTCTTTGTGTCTGGCTCTTTAAGGCATCTGGGTTCCGACACAGGAATGATGTAACTTTGTTTAGAACAAGGCTCATGTTCAATTTAGAATCCACAACAATCCAACCATTTTGTATGTATAGTGCAGCTGAGCCAAGTATTTCACATCCTATATCTGGGCATTTGGTTTTTGTAGCCTAAATGTAGAAATTTGCCTGCGTTAAACTTTATTTTATTAATTTCATTCCAGTTTTCTAGTTTATCAAGGCCATTTGAATTCTGTATCTGTCTTCCAATGAATTAGCTACCCCTCCCCATTTTATTTATTTATTTATTTATTTATTTATTTATTTACGTCATTTATATGTTGCCCTTCTCACCCCAAAGGGGACTCAGAGTGGCTTACAGTTATATGTACACACAATATATTATATTATTAGCATAGCACAATATAAGTATTATATATTACTATATTATACTATACCGCTATACAGTAACATTATTAGTACCGTATATTCCGGCATATAAGACGACTGGGCGTATAAGACGACCCCCAACTTTTCCAGTTAAAATATAGAGTTAAGACAACGCCCATGCATAAGACTACACCCGCGTATAAGACGACCCCTGACTTTTGAGAAGATTTTCTTGGGTTAAAAAGTAGTCTTATAGGCCAGAATATACTGTAATATTGCATGTAATATGAAATATAAAATTATTATATTGTATTATTAGTAATATTATTTTGTATTACATTATAATATTATCAATATTATATTTGTATTCAATATACTATATATATATAGTATACTATATATATATATATGATGGCAACAGTCTTGGACAGCAATGGCTCCCAAAGTGACCCATTTAAGGTGGAATCGGGTGTCAAACAGGGATGTGTTATTGCCCCAACTTTATTCTCCATCTTCATCGCTATGATACTTCACCTTGTTGATGGGAAGCTTCCCACCGGAGTGGAAATCATCTATCGGACAGATGGCAAGCTATTCAACCTCAGCAGACTGAAAGCCAAAACCAAGGTCACAACAACATCTGTTATAGAACTCCAGTATGCTGATGACAATGTCGTC